ATAATCTGTGCACAAACATGTCTGTCTGTATGTCTATTTGTCTATATGTAAACAATTATGGTTTCAAGGTTACCAAATACTCTGCTTACTAAAAATCTTTGTCAATGGAAGCTGTGATTTAATCTAAATTGTTTTAAAACTTTGTGACCTGACTATAAGCCAAAGAAACTAAGGGTAAGGTTTTAATTCTTTGTTTTCTCCCCTGTGGGCCATCAACTCCCTTTAAGATCAAAGGACCAGAGTGACTATGCCAGGCGCAGCTGCCTAAACCAGTGACACCAGCCTGCAAAAGCCAGTGCGAACCAGGTCTTTTTTTTTTTTGGGGGGGGGGTGTCCGGTCATGGGTCCTGAACTCTGAGCCTGGGCGCTGTCCCTCAGCTCTTCAGCTTAAGGCTAGCACTCTACCACTTGAGCCACAGTGCCACTTCTGGCTTTTTTCTTTTTTGCTTATGTGGTGCTGAGGAATCGAACCCAGGGCCTCAGGCATGCAAGGCAAGCGCTCTACCACTGAGCCACCTTCCCAGCCCCAAACCAGGTCTTTAACCAATATATGTAGAAATTTTGCAGGTAACCAGCGGGAGGTGTGACAGATGCCGCAGACTCCCCCAGACTCTGGCCTTGCTCCATCACACGTGACCAAAAGCCTGCTAATTTGGGTAAAACTCAAGCCACCTTAGATATTTGTTTCTGTAATGTTAATCTCCACCTGTTAGACCTTAAGGGATGTATGACTAAATGATGATAAATCTTCAGCCTAGAGGTAAAGGGTGTAGCCCAGTGTTTCAATGAAGCATTTAAATGTAAATTAAGGTGACTTTAGAAAAAAGGATTAAAAATGGCATCCACTTTTGTAAAATTTGGGAAGTTGTTTGTTTTGTATTTTTTTTGGTCGTTCCTGGGGCCTGAGCTCTGGGCCTGGGCACTATCCCTCAGCTCTTCAGCTCAAGGCTAGCACTCTACCACTTGAGCTACAGTGCCACTTCCAGCTTTTTTCTGCTTATGTGGTGCTGAGGAATCAAACCCAGGGCCTCATGCATGCAATGCAAGCACTCTACCACTGAGCCACCGTCCCAGCCCAAATTTGGGAAGTTGTAAGGAGTGGCTGGCCTCCCAAAGTTTAAAATTGTCCTAAAGGTTTATTTTATGGTAAAAAAGATAAATTAGGATTACCAGAGACCTAGAGATTGTGTCCCTTTTGAGATCTGCCTAAATCAGGTTCCTCAGCCAGCCAGAAAAAACGCTTTTATAAACCAGAGTGTTAAACAGGCTACCCTGCTGTAGCCCAAGATAAAAACCACTTTAAACAGGCTGCCCATAGGCAATGGGTGGCACTTAGAGTGCCAGTCAGTCTCAGTTTAAAAAAATCTACTGGGTTTTATTAAAAAACTCTGGCAAGTAATTGTTAGTCAATTGTTAACAACTTATAGGTAACCTCTTTCTCATTGATCTCCTTGTTGCTTTAATTGGAAATAAAAAGGGCTTTTGTAACAAAGATTCCTTTTGCCACTGTTCAAAGTCATCCAGGGCAAAAAGAATCCCTCTAATACTCCATCTCCCAGCTAATCAGCACAGAGCCAGGCTGGAGGCTGAAAGTGGCATTGCAACTCTAAGTAGTAGAGTACTCGCCTTGAGCAGACATGCTCATGGACAGTGCTCAGGCCTTGAGTCCAAACTAAATGACATCTGGGACAAGCTAACCCAGCAACGAATGCTGAGACACCTGCCAGGACAGGGTCAGTCCTGACAATGGAAAACCATGGAGAGTAGATCCTAAATGGAGTCAATTTATGCTTGCCCTTTCAAATTAATCAGAGCCTGGAGATCAAGAGAAATAGTTGCTTGCCCACCTAATGTCCATACCTGCCTACCTTCTAACTGGACAGAAAGTTAAGTCTTGCCTTTGTTACCTGCTATTTGTATGTATAGTAGCCTCTGACTGGTACTCCCAACCAGTCCATGATGCTCTCCCTTACCCAGTTACCTAAAAGACCCTAGACACTCTTTCTTGCCTTCCTTGCCCCGAGGCCAGTTATTCCTCCTTCCCTGTAGAGGGCTGTAATTGGGCTTTATACTCTAAATGGAACTTTTCTGGCCCATGGCTAATGTGTGTTCTCCTATGTCACTCAAGTTAACTGGCCTTGTCACCTTGTCATCTTTTTGTTTGATCTTTCCTAAAGTCTCTTCAACAGATAAAATCCCCTGCCCAGGATTCCACTTGGGAATAAATCAAGGCCATCCTGTTCCTTCAGGCAACCAGAGACATCACTTGCCTTGCTCAGCACAGACCCAAACCCTAAAAACCCCAGCTCCAGGGATTCCTTGATGCTCCCAGGCCAGCAGGAAGTAGCTAAAAGAGCCCATGACACTCGCTGGCTCTGGTATCTTTAAATATTTCTACTACCCCCTCCTCAGGTTACTGTGATCCTAAAGCAGAAAAAAGTCTTACTCCCTTCCTCCAGGATGCTGGAGTCAGATACCATGCTATGTCTCCAATCTGAGACAGAAAAGGCAATTTCAAGTCTTTGACAGCCCCTTCTGGGAATCAATCCCTCCATGGTATATTCCTCTCTTTGGGTACTAAAACAATTTTTGCCTTTTATTAATTGTGTCTTGCATTTTAGATAACTATTGTCATGGAAAAAGGAAGACCTTTACCAACTACTGTTAAGCAGATGCTTTTTGGACAGTACCCAGCCAAGCAATGAAACAGGGACCCCTGACTACTTTGCCCCTTTTACAGCAGGAAGTAGTTCCAGAAGAAACGACCTCCGCCCATACCCCCTGGCCTGGTACCCCCTATTTTTATTAAACAACAGAGTGGGAATATAAGCATTATGCCCACCTTTGGTCCTCAGCTCCACCCAGACCTGAGCTCCTCCCTGCCCTGGAGTTACTGCCAAACAGCTGGCCCCTCCCTCTCTCTGCCCAGACCCACAAGAACTCCCATCTAACTCACTTCCTACCCCCCAGACCCTGCTGCTACCTAGATAGCAGAGGCTGCCATGTGCTCTCTCTCCAGGGGAAATATGGCTCCTCTAATAAACCTTGTAATAATCTTTCTCCTGTGCCTGCCTGTCTCTGCGTGGTCCCATGGCATGGGAGTGATGGATCCTTTCATTGATCGTTTCATTCCACGTGCCACATTCCTCACTGCTTCACTTGAATGCTGTCCCTGGGCTCTCATGAATATCCTTAGTTTTGATCTCCCTTTGATTTCCATATCTTCACCCTTCACTTACTTCTTTGATTTCTTTCTGTCATCTTTGCTTTTCACTCTTTCTAGCAGTAACTGGGATTAAGGCATTGGCTAGCCAGGATCCTCATCCTAGCATGTGCTATGCTATAATATGTGCTGTAAATATGAAGAAGACTTTTCCTACTAGAGGTCAGAGATAAATGAAGAATCATGAACATAAGTGTGATAAGTTCTATGATTGAGATTTACGCAGACTGTTCTGTGATAGAAAAGGAAGGCAAAGTACCATACCTCTGACTGGGATGAGCTTTGTGAATCTCTCAACAGATATGGTTTCAAATGGCCAAAAGAGAAGGAAAGGAATACAGTATATAGGAAATATGTCCGTGCAAATGTATGAAAGTGCAAGAAGCTCATTTTTCCAGAATAAAGAGTCATAAGATGAAAGTTTAAAACTCAGGCTGAGGATTCAGGTGAGGTTTGCTTGTGAAGGTATAGTGTGCTGTGCTGAGGAGTTCAGACTGTACTCAGTGTCAGGAGGGAGTTATTGAGGGGTTTATTTTAGAAAGAAAAAAGTCCTGGTAGAATTTGTTACTCTCTGTCTTTGTCTCTCTATCTCACTCTCTCTCTGTGTCTCATACACACACACACACACACACACACACACACACACACACACACTCAAGTGCTAGTGTCTAACACGAGTTTAGAATAAACGCCTGTTTTAGATCTTCTAGCCTTAATCTATTTAATTTCATTTCTTGTCACTACCAGTCAGTCGCACTCTCTACCCCCATCCCACCTCCCCACCCTGCTTACTTAGCAGTGATCTCCTGTTTATAACATGCCCTTGGCTTAAGGAGTAAACCAAAGCCCACTTCTTCTCAGCTGTCCCCTTTGGCTTCCTCCTAGAGTCCACGTAGATAAGACTGTGGTGATTGGTTGTTTGGTTATTTATTTATTTCCAGTCCTGGAGCTTGAACTCAGAGAGGATTTTTCATTCATGACTGGGAATCTACCACTTGAGCCACATGTCTAGTTATGGGTTTTTGTTGGCCAATTGAAGGAAAGGGTCTCCGAGTCTTCTCCAGGTTGAGTCCAAACCTAGATTCTCCGAGTCTTCTCCAGGTTGAGTCCAAACCTAGATTCTCATATTTTGCTTAGTAGATGGGAATATAGCCATCCATCAGAGACCACTGGAAAACAGCTCAGCAGTAGTTATGACTTGCCATGCATATATCATTTACACTCACTTAAACAGCTTCCCACAATTCCCTATAGACATACTTTCCCTCTATTCTTAGTATGAGAAATCAGTCTTAATTCTTCAGACAAAATGTGCATGGAAATGCTGGGAAGTAGCTCAGTGGTTGAGCACTTGCCTGGTACATGCAAGGTCATAGGTCATCTCACGCACACACATACACATGCAAAAGTACACGGCATTTTTTTGTAAACCACACAATCTTATCACAAACTGAGGTCTACAGAAGTTATGTCGTTCATGAGAGTTTGTCAAAGTGTATCAAATCCTATAACCTATAGATTTCTAAGCAACTTGGAGTAAGGGAACTAAGGAAATAGTAGATAAGATTCCAGAGGACATAAATCAGATCTACACTTTCCCTTTCATTGGAGTTTGGCAGATTTCTTTTCATTCAATCCTGATGTCATGCTGAGTCATCACAAGTAGTGTTCAGCAAGACATCTCTGGAATCCTTTAGCCAGCCTCTCTTAGTCATTACTATACTCACGGGCTTGAGGCCAGTGCCGTTTGTTCACACTTCCCCTGTTTTGTAGCAGACAGAGTGAGTTTCTCTAATCCTTCTGCTTCATCTCCCCTACCTCTCCCAAGACCCTTGTCTCAGGAAGGAACAGCAATAGCTTTGAGGATAATATAGCTTTAAGGCAACTTTTGGCAGATGCAAACGTCCTGACATCTGGGCAGTGTTAAAAGAATCCCAGAATCCCGGAGGCCCGGACAGACCAGGAGCCACTCGTTCTAGGAATGTTAAAATAGAAGGGTTTTTCCCCCTGACCACGACTGATGAGAGGAGCAGACAGCAAGAAGAAAAAGGAGAGCGAAAAAGGGCGCACACACACAATAAAACAGGTAAGATCTGCAATTAAGCCTCATACTACACTGCCTTCATTTCACAGCTGTGGAGGGATAAAGAGACCCAGGATATGGACAGCATGGCTGGGGGTAGAAGGGTGGAAAATGCTCTTTTATGAAATTGGAGCATATGCTGTTTTCATTTATGGACCTGGCTGCAGACATGTTGCCACTACCTGAATCAGGTTTTCAGTTTGAGACTGGAGTGAGGTTGTGGGGGGAGAGGAGGTGAGCAGGTAAGAGGCCACAGATTCAGGCTATAGAGTCTAGAGAAGGAAAACCCTTTTTCCAGAACAAAAGAACTGGATTAAGATTGGATATGAGAGAAGGGTCAATGATTCATTATCTAGCTGTTAATTTTCCTGGTTCTTTCTTTCATCTTTTTTTTCTGTTTATGCTTTTCTGCTTTCATTTGTCTCTTTCCTTTAGCTCTGTCAGATTTTCTTTTCTTTTTAGATTTATTTCCACCTCTTTTCACTTTACTGATTTTCTTTCTTTCTTTTTTTTTTTTTTGTTGGTTGTGGGGCTTGAACTCTGGGTCTGGGCGCTATCTATCCCTGAGCTCTTTAGCTCAAGGCTTGTGCTCTATTACTTGAGCCACAGTGCCACTTCTGGCTTTTTCTGTTTATGTGGTGCTGAGGAATCGAACCCAGGGCCTCATGCATGCGAGGCAAGCACTCTACCACTGAGCCACCTTCCCAGCCCCACTTTACTGATTTTTTCCTTACAAAAACATTTTCTATTCCCTCTTTAATAGCCATTCTCTAAATAAAAAATCTAAAACCAAGTAGTGATTATTTGGAAAAAGAATGACTGCCTCTCTTAGACTTTTGATACCCCTTTAGTTACTCTGGCCATAATCTATCCTTTTGTTTCTTCTATTTTGACACTTACTCCTCATCTGAGCATGGCATTTCATTGAAAGCATGTAGGTGAATGGTGTTTGCTCTAAGGTCGAGTGACCCATTTATACCAGTGGGCAGCAAATTTCAACATTTCCATTTATGAAGTACTGACCCACTGGGAGCCACAAAAGCTCTCATCCCGTTAGAGTGGGGGCAAGATGGGAAGTGAGAGGGTAATTGGAGCCTGCTCAACTTCTCTTCACTTTTGTAGGCCCTCCCCACCCTCTCCATCTTCCTTCTGGTTTAGAAGGGTAGGCTGGGACTCGCAAGCGAGAAGCCACTACCAACCACTAAACCTCAAACCCCCAAAGTAGGAAAAAGCCAAAGTATAGTTACTGTCTGGGAGACTAGGCAAGGGAAACTTCTCATCCTGTCCAGTATAATGTCAGTACATATTGACTGCTCCCTTCTTTGCTAGGCAAGAATATATTCCACAAAGTAGATACTCTTATTCCCATTTTATAGGTTAAGAGAGAGAGGCTCAAAGAAGAAATTAAGGAATTTTCCAGTTAAGGAATTGGTAATAGAAGTGGATTTGCATCCAAATTTTGTAATTGCAGAGTTCAAGGTCTAGACTATCTATGCTAATGCTTTCCCAGATTAGTGGTTAGGAAATATGAACTGAATGGCCAAACCCATTAACTGACAGCCTTTACACTGTCAGATTCCATCCTGGTTCTATGTGATTCTCTATTAGCTTTCTCCTAGTCTGCCTACTTCAGTGTCCCTCCCTGTAACTTGGACCATGCAACATTTGTATCTGATCCCAGGAATCAGTTGAGGATGGGTTGTTTAGTGTTCCCCTCCTCTACAACCTTGGAGGAAAAAAAATCATACATTAAAAATCTTGTTATTTTGTAAAGTGGAAAAGTCTTTATGAGGGAGATGATATAACAAACATTCATTAAACTGTTTTCTTCTTTCTCACAGATCCTATATTTCTGCTTCCTCTCACTTTTAGAAATTCACAGATGGCTGATTTATGAAAGTCATTTTCATGTACCCTGATACTTCTGGCCACACATCTCTATTTGTATCTCCCTAACACTCCCTCTAGGATGGCTGGTCAACTAAATCCAAGAGGAGCTCTCTCTCTGCTGCTCTTCCTAACTCCAGCAGTGACACCAACATGGTATGCAGGTAAGTTGTGGGAGTTGTTGTCTGTCAACTTCCAGGGAGGAAAGGGTTAGACTATATTGAGACATCCTTATTTTAGATCTGATGAAAAGCTATTAAGCTTTCTGAAAACCACTTTCTAAGAACCTTTTACCTTAAGCCCACAAAAATAGGATTCAGACAACATATATCATTCAGGGGAAAAAAATAAGGGAGACAGGCAAACTATTCAGAATGAATAATAATTCATCAATGTCACTTCCTTACTCCCTCCTTCTCCTTTTTCCTCTACCAGACTTTATGAAACTTGTATAGCTCCTTTATTCCAATGCTGTTAATGGCAATACAGATCATACTCTCTTAATCAGGAATTCCCCCAGTTTCTTCTGGCTTGTTCTTTATCTCAGAAAGAAAGCTTTCTGGATTCTTAAACATTTTATCTTTAACCCTTGGAGAGATAGGGAGTTGACAAGGATGGACTCAGTGAGGAGAGGCAAAAGGGCGGGGGTGGGATGAGGAGAGGATAACAGCTGCCATACGGAGGGTTTTGATGGAGTGCCCCTGGCATTCCAAGTGCTAAGAATATTCTGTGGTCTTCAGTGTCTGCCCTCACAGGTTCTGGAGGAGTGGGGGAATGAGACGGCCCAACCAATGGGGTTAGGAAAATATCCAGAGATGAGTAAATAACAAACTGCTCCCATCACAGCCACAGTCTTTGCAGCTAAAATTTTCCACTTGCACTTAGCTCCTAGTGGAAGCTTTTGGCAATAGCTCTGTTTGTCTGGAACAGCTGCATCAAGCTTTCAAACAAATATGCAAACTTCTTCCCCTCTTTGCCTTAACCTAGCTTTGTAGGGGGTGAAGCACAAGGGCTGACATTGAAATGAAGAAATTCCGACCAAGCCCTTGGCAAAGTACACACTGTTTGGGGTTAAAAGAGCCCTAAGTCTCCAGGATATAATTATGCAGCTGACTTCCCTAACCATCCCTCAGCTTCAGTTCAAGCACAAAAGACCAAAATCCAGGCAAATACCGCAGGCCTATGGGAGTGCAGACCAGATGTCTCAAAACCCAATTTTGAACACCTGTATGAAACCTCATTGCATGCAAAGGTCTTTATTTCTCCCAGGATGAATACCTAAGCTGTTGGAATTCTGCAGTCAGGGCAGTTTTAAAAAACAAAAGAACTTAAGATTTATTTGAGATTCTCAAAGGGCTGTCTTGCAAAGAATGTACTCCCCACTTTCATATGTATCACAAGGATGAGGAGTCAAGGCTGTGGGGTCTGTGATGGCCCTTTCCCTTAGGAGTCTCTATGGTGAGAGACCTTGAAAGATCCTATAATGTTCCCCTCCACATCTAGCTCAGCTGCTGGTGTTCACTCATTCATTTAACAAGTATTTATTGACTATTCCCTATGCAACCAGAATTTTTTTTCAGTTCTATGACTGTGCTCAATTTTTGAATGACACAAGGAAAGCAGCCAACTGTGGACTCAGAGTTAATCAGAAAACGAGTGTGGAATAATCAGCATAGTGTGTGAAAGGTTAAGAATATAAGTGAAGCAAAGTGTGAGTTAAAAATGCACATTGACATAACTGTACACTTTAGGAAGTCAACTGGTCATCATAACCCAGCATAAATGTCCATCTTAAAATAGTCTTCAGCCATCAATTACATTTCCATCTATACCTTTTATACAGGGCAGTGCTTAGAAGGTCTAACTTTGTTTAATAAGTTGGAGGAAGCCTGTAAACACACCATAGGATAACCAACCACTAATTGATGCAAAGAAACTGAGAAATGCCACTCAATCCCCTGCCCCACCCCACCCCATTCCCCATCCCCGTTGCTGAAGAGGCACAATAAAAAGGAATGAGGTGGCAAGTCACCCCTCTAGTTTCATTCTTATTACCCACTGCAGTATCCCAACATATATGCATAATGTACTGGAAAGCAGGCAAAGGAGAAATGGAAAGGTTTAAAGTGGTAAGGTAGCTAGCTCAAGCTCATTCCTGGCTCAAAGGAAACTTGGCACAGATTTAACTACTCCATGCCCTGGTGGAGACTATAATTATCTGATTGAGTCTTCCTCCTCAGTTTTCCCACATCCTCTGTAAGTCTGGAAAGAAATAAATTGTTTGGTGGCCTTCAATCCTCATCTTCTTTCCTATACATGGAAAGAGTATAAAGGTGGGATTGCAAGAAAAGCTTTATTTTTGTTGCCTATTATATAAAAAGAACCTGTACTACTAATATAGGGTAGTGTCAGGTCAGTACCTAGGGCTCAATCAAACCTGGGCTGAAATGTCCTCTCTGCTACTTGCTAGTTAGGAGACCTTGAGCAACTCCTTCCATTCGTCTGGGCTGCTTTTCCATCTGTACTTTGAGATCATAAATATTTTCTACCCCGTTGAGATTCTGCTCACATAATGAAATAACATAAGCCTCACACAGAGGAGGAGCTGAGTGATTCCTTGTCATTGTTATTGTTTTTGTTACCCAGCTCTAGGTTTCTGATGTTCCTGTTTCTTCTTCTGGTAAACAGCTGTTTGCTCCCTGCTGAGCATTTCTTCACAAGCTAACACTGTAACAAACCTAGGGAGTCCTTATATTTTAGGGAATCACAAATATATGGCCTACTGTTTACAAGAGCTGTAAGCCTTTAAGCTTAACACTAAACTGAAACAGCTGGCAAGAATTCCTCCCATGTGTGAAAAGAAAGAGCAAGGGAGATGAGGCCTATTGAGAAATAGAGGGAAGTCAGAAAAACCGAAATGGGGAAAACATCAAAAATGAGAAGAAATGAACTCTTTCTTTTGGAATGAGGGTAAACCAACAAGGACATGATTTCATAAGGCAAACTTTCAATTTGATTCATTCCCTTGTTCACCAAGTTGGACTGGTTTCCCAACCACCCACACACACGCCCCCAGCCTGGGTCCATGGGGAGTGGAGGAGGTTTGTCATCTAAGCCTCTGCTCCACCTTTTAGTGCAGGATCTTCTGTGCCTCCGCCCAAAGAAAAGGCCACTAGCTTGTGGTCTGAGTGTTTACACAAGCTAAAGGGCTCCAGCACAAAAACCCAGCCATGTCCTGGAATCATACCCTTTCCTGGAAATGGAGGGTTGTCTTCAGACTCCAGCACTGCAGGCTGCCCTGCCATTAGAGGCTGGAGGAAAGGCTTCCAGAAACTTTGCTCCGGAAAGGACCAAATTGTTTTCCAATTAGTTCATGTTCATGACCAATTTCCTGCTGTCTGGTGGAACATACTGTTTAGTCTCCCATACAGCCGCAGTCTTGCCGGGGACTGAGGCACTTAACTGAGTGGAGGTAGATTAGGAATGTTCTCTAGCTCAGCAGAAAAGATGCCTGCTAAAGCTCCTCCTGCCCTCTAAACAGGAAATTTGGGCTGGGGGTGTAGCTCAAAGGCAGAACACTTGACTAAACATATGTAAAGCTTGGAGTTTGCTTCCCAGCACTGAGGAATTTTTTTTAAGAGTGACTTCTGTTTTCAACAGGACAAAGTGCTCAAGAGACTTCTCATTCCCTTGTAAGTCTTCTATCTCTGCATTCACATGCCACTCCCAGCCAGTAACCACAATCAGGTGCCAAAATTTTGGGCACATGCCCTGTAGGTAGTGGGAGTTCGTTATTGTTTCCTTCTAGGGAGTTTGAGCAGGCCTTAGACTCTATTTATTCCCTCCTACCTGGGACAGTTCATTCTCAGAACTTGATCATCAGTGTCTCACCCACTATGACTCATGGGTTGGGTCAAGTAAATGGATCAACCATAGTTCAGATTGACAGGATTGATGGATGATCAAGTAATTCAATGTTTTTTTTTTTTTTTGCAAGAATTTTTCTAGTGCCATCAGTGAGCCCCAACCCAACCATGAGTTCAGCCTCTATGCACTTAATATGCTGAGGTTCACCCATAGTAGTTATGTGACTTTACAAGTCATTTTGTTTCCAACCCACAGAGTACCATGCTTGCAGGAGAAGACAAAGAGTTGGAGCTGAAATGACTTGATACAATTTTCTTCATCTAGGTTCGGGCTACTATCCAGATGAAAGCTACAATGAAGTATATGCAGAAGAGGTACCACAGGCCCCTGCACTAGACTACCAAGGTAATCCTCACTGTGTTTTAAGCTCATAAAGGCTCTTTTCTGGCCTAAGGCCTATGCTCTTTCCTGAAGCATCTTCATCCAGTTTTTGTTTTCATATATAACAAAACTTTAGTGCAGGTAATCAAGAGCTCTGATATTTAATTTAATTTTTTTTATTTTTGGCTCTAATGTATTTTTTCCTATTTTATTTATTTTTGTTTTTATGGTACCGAGAAATCAAACCCAGGGCCTCATGCATGCTAGGCAAGCACCCTACCACTAAGCCACATTCCCAGACTAGATAGTTCATTTTTTTTGTCAGTCATGGGGCTTGAACTCAGGGCCTGGGCACAGTTCCTGAGCCTCTTTGTGCTCAAGTCTAGCACTCTACCACTTAATGATATTTGTATAAGACAAGGACTTACCATGTAACTCAGCCTGACCTCAACATCACAAATATCCTGCTGCAGTATCCTCAGTACTGAGATTATAGGTGTGCATCTCCACAGTTAACAGATGATATCTGTAGTTATTGACTTGTTATGTGACTTCACCTCCCTAGCCTGAAGGCTGTTCATCTGCTTTTAGTAGTTAAGTATTGACTAATCCTGTGTAAGGTAAGTCTGTGATGGATACAAAGATAGGCTTACATTCTGTTAGGGTTGAAAGGAGGATAAAATTAGCACTTGTTAGGGTCAGGTTTTGTGGTAAGTGTCTATAATCCAGACTACTCTACTTGGGAGGTGGAGGTAGAAGGATTATAGTCCAATAATATCCTAAGCAAAAGCCAAGACCCTATCTTGAAACAGACTAAAAACAAAAAGTTTGGGTGTATGGCTCATGTGATAGAGCATTCTTCTAGCAAGCTCAAGGATTTGAGCTCAATTCCCAGTACCAGAAAAAAATATAGCACATGTGGGGCAAGGAAGTATGAAACAGTGTGGTAGCAGTAAATGCAATAGCTATTAAGACAAACAAGTTAGGGAAAAGTCATGAAAGATGAAATTAGGCTTTGGATAATGAATGGGGTTTTGATAGCTGGAAAGGGAAGGGTATTTGTCAGAGAAGATGGCCAAGGACTCAGAGGTAAAAGAAGCATTGTAAGAGAGCTGGGCGCTGGTGGCTCATGCCTATGTTCCTAGCTACTCAGGAGGCTGAGCTCTGAGGATTGTGGTTTGAAGCCAGCCCAAGCAGGAAAGCCCATGACACTCTTACCTCCAATTAACCACCAAAAGCCAGAAAATAGAACTGTGGCTCAAGTGGTAGAGTGCTAACTTTGAGCACAAAAGTTCAGGAACAGCACCCAAATCCTGAGTTCAGGCCCCTGGATCAGCAACAACACAAAAATTATTATGTCAGAAAGAGAGAACTAAGGAGAAACCAACCTGACTGCAGGAGATGATGGGATATAAAAGAAGTTGCAGAGAACAAAGTTGAATATAAAGAGATGAACTTGGAAAAGTTCCATGATCTAGGAACCCTTCTAAGGAGAAGCTGGAAGAATGCTGGATAAAAAGTTCTGCAATGAGTGGAATGTTAGACCAGGCAAGGTTTCATATCCCTTCTATTTAAGATTCTGTGTTTTCTATGCTTTTGTAAGCCATGCAGAAGAATTTAGCTGTTATGCTTGGAGTGAAAAGGAGACATCATGTATTTTTGCACAGGAATGTGACACTAAATGTGCACTAACCTGGTTGTTCTGTTCAGAAAATATGGGTTAGAGTAGAACCTGAGTCAGAAAAATCTCTCCAGAAACAGGTTAACGCAGTGTTAGCCAGATGTATTTGAGGGTGGTGGCAAAGACGTGGAGAATTAGGATGTACCCCAAAGTGGTATTACACAGTAGTAGAATGCTTGCCAGGACAATCCCCAGTGTTGATAAAAAAGGAAGTACCCTATAGATGTTTCAAAGGAGAAGACAAGACAGATTTGGTGTACCATGAAGCTGACAGTGATGTCTGAAAACATCCCATCTGAATACCTGAAGGGATTATAAAAATTCTCCAAGAAAGACAAGGTTAAAAAAGAGAATTGGCTTAGTAAAGATAGCCCATAGGCAGTTGAAAGAGGAAAGGGATCTGTAAGTCTCAGCTTAAATGTAAGTGCTGTCTAAGAAACTAGAAGGCCAAGATCAAGGCCTTAGAAGACATCTTTAGCTATAAGTCAGAGAATAGAAGTCAATAGGGGAAAGAGACTTAGTCCGCAGACATGTGCAAGGAGATTAGGATAGTGTCTATCACATATAACAAAAGTCACTTTATAAAAGAATTTAGGAAAGTTGAAAAGATAAAGAGATTGATTTTGCCAAGTTTTGCAAAGGTAATCATGTTTCAGAGAAAGCAGACATTTTATGTGATAAGAAGGAAGTAAATGGTGACCTTTGAGAAAATAATTTCCACAGAGATATGATCAAAGCTCTGGGCTTTTCTAGCTGCCATCTCCTTATCTTCTCACTGTCAGTGGTCCATACCCACTGCCCCATCCCGTTGCTGGTTAAATCCTAATCTCCCTGCAGTCTTTTTTCCACTTATCCACAAATCTGTGAGCTGGATCCACATATCTTTGAAGACTAAAGTTCTCTCCCAGTGTGTCCTCACTCTCTCCAACAACAGTAATCACACTTCTTTCTTCTTGACTCTTCTTCCTTGGGCTCCATGACATTTCACTATTATGATTATAGCTGAAGCCAAGAAAGGAGAATGGCTGTCTGATTGGGAACAATAGAGAATGGGCCGTGGAGTGACTCTGGGCACACATGACTTTTTGTGCACCCAGACAACATCTGCTCTTAGACACTTTCATTTGGAGATGTTTAAAACAAAAATTTTTCCTCTTGCTTGAAAAATGTCTACCAGCTGAACTTTCTACCTCTAACAATGGTATTGCCATTCTAATTGTTACTTGGATTTCAGAATATTTCAGTGTCACTTTAAATAGCCCTTGCCTCCTTTCCTCATCACTTCTTACTCATCATTCACTAAGCCCTGTCATTTCTTTATCAATCCAAGGTATTAAAATGATTTCTCACCCAGTAGTTGTCTACTAACTGGATTGTCTAACTCATATTGCTCCATTCCCAAAGCCTAGTGGCACACTACAAACTATTTTGTGTTATTTTAGTTTGTCAGTCCCGGGGCCTGAACTCAGGGCAGGGGCACTGTACTTGAGCTCTTTTTGCTCAAGGCTAGTGCTTTACTACTTTGAGCCAAAGCACCACTTCCTGTTTTCTGGTGGTTAGTTCAAGATAAGAGTCTCATAGACTTTCCTGCCCAGGTTGGCTTTGAACTATAATCCTCAGATCCTCCTGGGTAGCTAGGAGTACAAATGTAAGCGACGAGTGACCAGCTACTACAAATATTTTAAATCAGAATCTAGCTTCCCAGACTGATACTCTCTTACCCCTTCTTTACACATGAAATATATGTTTCAGTCAGGGTGATCGACTCTGTTCCCAAATGCTTTAGCCCACATATAGCTGTCCCTCACTCATCCATTCTACTATGTCCATGTGAAATCAATGTTTATTGCCTAGGGTATTCATTTGACCTTCATTGGGAGCTGCCTCTTTGGTCTGTCATTCATTGCCGTCAACAAAATGATTGTCTATTTGACAAAATAAGATCCATATATATCACTCTTGCAAAACCATGTAAAAACTAGATGCTCTATATGTAATTATAGGCTAAGCACATGCATACTTCTGATGCAAAGGCCAAAACTCATTATATGCCATGTTATATAAAAATAAGTGGGATCTCCTGTTTATTAATAAAGTTTAAAAAATAAAAGAAAAAATAATCAAAAGATTATTAATCCTAGTAGCTAGGATTACAGATGTGAGCCACTGGCACCCGGCTTATACTGTTATTTTTGAGATAGGATCTTGCCTGTACCCATATGTACACCTGGACTACAATCCTATTTTTCATTCCCCATACTAACTGAAATGACAGGTGGGTGACACCACATTTAATTTCTTGCATAAAGATAGAGTCTCATGGACTTTTGTGCCCATGATCCTCCCACTCTTAGTCTTCAACATAGCTAGAATAATAAGTGCATGCCACCATGCCCCACTATTGGTTGAAAAGTGGTATCCTATATATGCCTTGGTCCTCCTTGTCTCAACTTACTGAGTAGTCACTATTTAACTTTGCATACTTTGGGAAGTTTTCACCATGTGGAATTATTGCCCTATTTTAAAAGGTCAATTTTTTTTTTAAAAATACCAGCTACAATGGCAAATTTTGAGCTTAGAAAGAACATGGGTTTTAGAGCAGATAAAACTTGGGTTCCAATCCTAGAGTTGCCCCTACTTGTGGAGGTATTTGAACAAATACTCCTTTATCTGAAAAATTAGGCTAAGTGCTTACTTATGCACAGGCTGGTCAGGAAAGCTCTACAAGATGAGATATCAGTACTCAATAGTGTCCATTTCCTAGCAGACATTTTCTTTTCTTTTTTCTTTTTTTGGTCCGGTTGTGGGGCCTGAACTCTGGGCCTGGGCGCTGTCCCTCAGCTCTTCAGCTCAAGGCTAGCGCTCTACCACTTAAGCCACAGCGCCACTTCCGGCTTTTTTTCTTTTTGCTTATGTGGTGCTTAGGAATCGAACCCAGGGCCTCATGCATGCAAGGCAAGCGCTCTACCACTGAGCCACCTTCCCAGCCCAGCAGACATTTTTTTTTGTGCAGTATTTAACCATATCTCTTGTTCAGTTTTTCATTGACATTCTTTGGGTACAGTTGTTCAAACAGTTATGAATCTCTTTAACTGTATTGTTACCTATCTTATACTACTTCATTTTGTACTCATCACTGGCATGAAAAGCATTGTCTCATGCCTCACTTACTTCCCACCTTTCTCTTGTTCTACCAGTTGAGCAACCCTACTAAATATGGCAATGAAGTCCATCTGGAATTACTCTTTCTTGAGAGTTCCTAGGAACCATCCCTTCTCTGTCAAGCTGCGTTTAAGCCTTACCTTTAAGTATTCTAGAACACCATGCTCCCTGTGCTGTTAGTGTCACTGTATTTTCCCAAAACTACCTCCCTCTTTATTTGAAAATTATGTTTGACCTTCTCCAGCCTTCCAACATTTTGTCCTTATCCCATCCCAGGGCTTCCCTGGGCTTCCAAATTTGAACTTATTGACAGTAACGGATCCTCTGTTACTGTCTCAGCATTTACCATGAGTTTTATACTTCCCTTTACCATTGTAGCTTTTCCCCCCATCAGTTTCAATCTGATGGATATTTTTTCTTGACAGAATATGAGAAAGAATCAGAATTGAAATGGTAGTTGAGGTCCCAACCTTCCATGTTAGGTCTTGGTGATGTGTGCTGTGGCCTTATCATCCATAACCCTGCAACTATAATGGCTAACAGACTCATTTGGAGACAGCATCTCCAAATGTCAGCCCTGTCAATGCCACAGGTTTTAAAGTGATGCTGGAATCCTCTGGTTGGAAAATAATTTTCTCACTGTCATTTTTTAGCTGGACCCAACCAAAGGCTCTAAACTTTTCTAGATCCTTTAGGTCCAGACACGATGGGCTCTTATTAAAATTCCCCTTTTTTGTCACTAAATTTGGGATTCAAATCAGGTCACATGGCATTTTGGGCTTCTCAACCCTAGGCAAATAGATCTATGTCATAAATGTGTAAACATCCTTGAACAAGTGGTCCTCCATTTGTTTATATGTGTCCCTTTAAGATCTGAACTGATGAAAGTTGATTTATTTGTATCACCAGTGAGGCATCTTTACCAGAGCTTTATGATCCAACAGATTTATTTTCTTTTAATTTTTCTTTCTTTTTCACCCAATACTGAACTATATTGGACTTTAATTCCTAAGCAGCCTTCATTGACATTACATTCCATTTCTCTCTACATTTTTGGTTGTACTGGGATTTGAACTCAAGATCTTGTCTTTGGTAAGCTTGCACATCCAGTTGGCTTTCTACAACTTGAACCATGCACACAGCTCTACTTTTTGCTGATTATTTTGGAGATAGTCTAGTGAACTTTTCTGCCGATTGGCCTTGAACCATGGTCTTCCAGACCTCTGTTTCTGGAGTAGTTAGTATTACATGCACAAGCCAGTACACCTAACACTAGTTTATATTTTGATGTTATTTTTTAATGTTTTAAATTTACAGACAAAAGTCACTTTTTGGCATATCATTTTGTGAGTTTAACAAATGCTTAGGGTGAGAAAACTACCACCACAATGCAAAACTGTAACCATTGTTATGTCACCACAAAAAGTGGCCCTGTTGAGCTGGGAAGGTGGCTCAGTGGTAGAGCCCTTGCCTTGCATGCATGAGGCCCTTGGTTCGATTCCTCAGCACCACATAAGCAGAAAAAAAAAGCCAGAAGTGGCGCTGTGGCTCAAGTGGTAGAGTGCTAGCCTTGAGCTGAAGAGCTGAGGGATAGCACCCAGGCCCAGAGTTCAGGCCCCACGACCAGACCCCAAAAAAATTTTTTTAAAAAGGTGGCCTGTGCTGCCCCTTTGAAATTACTTCCTGCTTCTAACCCTGATATCTGGCAATCACTGAACTGTACTCTGCCCCTACATTTTGCCTATATGTGTTCCTATATATTTATTATATATATAAATATATGTGTGTATGTATATATAATATAAATGAAATCTTTTTTGGCAGTACTGGTTATGAACTCAAGGTTTTGCATTTGCAAGACAAATGCTCTACTGCTTGAGCCACACCCATAGCCCATTTAGTTCTACTTGTTTTTGAGATAGGGTCTTGTATCCCCCGCCCAGGCTGCAGCCCTCCTATTTATGCTACCCACCATAATTGGGATAAGAATATCCTACTTTTTCTGTTGAAATGCAGTTTTGTAAACCTTTTATACTTGGCTGGCCCAAAACCCCCATCCACCTGATCTCAGCCTCCCATGTAGCTGGGATGACAGGCACCCAGCTATTTAGAGTCCTTTGGAATATCTGACTTCCTTCACTTCCCAAAATATGAGAGGGGCTGGGAAGGTGGCTCAGTGATAGAGCGCTTGCCTTGCATGCCTGAGGCCCTGGGTTCGATTCCTCAGCACCACATAAGCAAAAAAATAAAAAAGCCAGAAGTGGCGCTGTGGCTTAAGTGGTAGAGTGCTAGCCTTGAGCTGAAGAGCTGAGGGACAGCGCCCAGGCCCAGAGTTCAGGCCCCACAACTGGACCCAAAAAACAAACAAACAAACCAAAATATGAGATTCTATGTTGCTAAATGTATGAACACTTCATTCTTTTATATAGATAAACTGCAGTGAGTTCAACCATTTGCCCATAGAAAGACATTTTTGTTGTTCCCAGCTTTTGGAAAATATGAATATAGCTTCTTTCATCATTGGGGTACAGGATTCTGTGTGGTCCAGGTTTTCATTTTTCTTGAGTAAATACCTTAAAGTGGGATGGCAGAGTCATATGGTATGCATACCTTTCTTTAGAAGAAAGCATTGTATTAGCTTTGTAAAAAATATCCAAGTATATTCCCAATGCCACCAACTATGTATGAGAATTCTAATTTATCTTCATCTTCACCAGCCCTTGGTATTTTTAGTGGTTTTTTTTTGGGGGGGTCCAGTTGTGGGGCCTGAACTCTGGGCCTAGGCACTGTCCCTCAGCTCTTCAGCTCAAGGCTAGCGCTCTACAACTTGAGCCACAGCGCCACTTCCGGCTTTTTTCTTTTTTTGCTTATATGGTGCTGAGGAATTGAACCCAGGGCCTCAGGCATGCACGGCAAGCACTCTACCACTGAGCCACCTTCCCAGCCCTTTAGTGTTTTTTTTTAAAATAGGCATTCTGGGCTAGAAATATGGCTTAGTGATAGAGTGCTTGTGTGGGGTGCATGAGGTTCTGGGTTTGATTCCTCAGTACTACATAAATAAATAATATTTTAAAAAATTTAAAAAGAAAAAAAGGTATTCTAATGGGTATGTTATTTCATTGTAGTTATAATTTGCATTTCCTTAATAACTTAATTATATAAACATCTTTTCTTATGCTTACTTATCAACAGTGTATCCTCTTTAGTAATATGTCTGTTCATATCTTTTACCCATGTTCTAACTGGATTGTTTTTTTTTCTTTTTTATAATTTTTATTTATTTTTTATTGTGAAAATACTGTACAGAGGGGTTACAATTACATGGGCAAGATAATGAGTACATTCCTTATCAAGCATTGTAGCCTCCTCCTTTGTTTCCCCTTCCCATCTCTTCCTAGGATTGTTTGTTTTTTTTATCATTGAGTTTTGAGAATTCTTTCTATATTCTACATTCTTAGCTGCTTGTTGGACATGTGTTTTACAATAATTTCTTTCCATTTGTGCCTTGTCTTTGATCTCAATAGTGCCTTTTGTGGCTGGGAATATGGCTTAGTGGTAGAGTGCTTGCCTAGCATGCATGAAGCCCTGGGTTCTATTCCTCAGTACCATATAAACAGAAAAAGCTGGAAATGGTACTGTGGCTCAAGTAGTAGAGTGCTAGCCATGAACAAAAGAAGCTCAGCGACAATGCCCAGGCCCTGAGTTCAAGCCCTAGGACTGGCAAAATTTATGCAGCAAAATTTTTAATTTTGAAAAGATTTAATTCATTGATTTTCTCTTAAAAATTGTACTTTTGGTGTTATGTTAAAGTCCTGTTTACCTACCCTTAGATCTCAAAGACTTTCTCTTGTATTTTTTTCTAAATGTTTTATATTTATATTTTCCTGCTTACATTTAATTCTAACATCTGAGATACTTTTTGTATACATGGTAAAACAGATTGTGTTGTGTTTCTCCACCTCCCCCTATCTGCTCTTCTTCTTTACTCTTCCTTGCCCTACTTCCTCCTCTTCCTTTTCCTTCTTTTTTGTTATTCTCATCATATGAAAGTCCAGTTGCACCATTTGTTGGAAAGACTGTCTTCCTCCATTAAATAATTTTACATGTTTGTCAAAAATCATTTTTTCATAGTTATAGGTGTAATTCTGGGGGGTGTATTCTGTCCCATTGGTTTATGTCTGCTCTTTCACCAATACCACTCTATCTTCTGTACTCATAGCTTAATTTTTCCTCTTGCTACAGTCCCCAGATGGTGTTACACATTAAATATCCAGGATGGAGAAACTACATGCTACTCACCAAGGGGAAGAAATTACCACAGCAGCCTGGGGACACGGTGTGAAATCTCCTGTTACCGAGGCTTTCGGTTGATTGGCCAGAGATCAGTGAAATGCCTGCCAAGTCGTCGTTGGTCTGGAACTGCCTACTGTAGGCGTAAGTTGTATGTGTACATATGCTGATATGTGTGGAAGAGAGAAGAAAGAAGAGGGACAGAGAGCCACTGAGGGTATATGAGTGAAGTCATACAAATCTTTCTTTCAAGTAAAAATTAGGAATTTTTCATAGGCCTCCAACAGAGATTTTCTGTTCTAATTTATTTTTTCTTACTGTGGTTATTGTCCAAGCAATATAATAATTAAAATAGCAGCCAGCCTTTCAGACCCAGGGAAACCAGGCTAAGGCTTGGCTCTGTGGTCTGATATGTGCCACAGCCTTTTTCTGGTGCTCCCAAGGATATATAATCTAAGACTCTTTCCCACTTGTGGTCAAACTGTCTTCAGCCTTAGTAAGTCTTGCCACTGAAGCTTATGAAACACCTGGTATTCTTTATATTCTTACAAAAGTAAAACAGAAGGATCCTTGAGGCTAAAATAAGGGCAGGATAATACACACACACACACACACATACACACACACACCCCAAATCATGTACAGCTTTCAGTTCCCTACTTATTATTCAAGCTGTACAGCCTACCTTCTCTTACTAGCTGAGCTTTGTCTATCCATATGGTCACTGCCAAATGCTGTTTGTAGGTCATCCCGGTGTTGAAGGCTCTGTACTAGTTCCTTCTGGAGCTTACTCAGTCACTAGAGGCTGCTATAGACTAACAGGATAGCAACCCACATGCATGCACATAAATGCCATCGATACAGCACCTTAAGTATGTTATAAATACATACTTGATGCAGGAGTACAACTCATTCAGAGGGTATGAGATTGGTCAGAGAAAATACTTATGGGAAAGAGAAACCTGATAGGAAGAAGAAAGTCACCACAACCCTCTAGGTGACTATCATTATGTTGTTTTAGGATTTAAACCCCAATACTTCCAAAGTGTGTGTATGTATGTATGTATGTATGTATGTATGTATGTATGTATCTATCTATCTATCTATCTATCTATCTATCTATCTATTGATTTTGTCAGTCATGGGGCTTGAAGTCAAGGCCTGGGTACTGTCCTTGAGAGCCACAGAGCCACTTCTGGTTTTTTGAGTAGTTAATTAGAAATAAGAGTCTCACAGACTTTTCTGCCCAGGCTGGCTTCAAACTGCAATACTCAGATCTTAGCCTCCTGAGTAGCTAGGATTACAGGAGTGAACCACTAGTGCCTGGCTCCCAAAGAAAATTTAAATATACCTTACAGATTTAAAATATTAAAACTAGTTAAAAGAGGGGCTGGAAAGGTGGCTCAGTGATAGAGTGCTTGCCTTGCATGCATGAGGCCCTCAGTTCGTTTCCTCAGCACCACATATGCAGAAAAAGCCAGAAGTGGCACTGAGGCTCAAGTGCTAGAGTGCTAGTCTACAGCTGAAGAGCTGAGGGACAGCGTCCAGGCCCAGAGTTCAGGCCCTAGGACTGACCAAAAAACAAAAAACAAAAAAAAAAACTGTTAAAAGAATGAAAAAGATATACATATATCCAAGTGCCTAGAATAAATACTACATTTGCTCACTGACTCTAGCTTTGACCTTCCTCATAAGAGACAAAAAACTTTGAATACATCATTTTCACTGTCATATAATACTAAGCTAATAGAGCAATCTGAAGAGATACATCTTTTTTCTTGTCTCTGTTTTCAAGACGTTAGTTTTTGCATAGGTCTTCCATAACAGATACTCGAAAACACAAAGCCAATAAGGTTCAAATCTAGCTTAGCCAAGAAACTAAATGAACAAAGCTCATAGAGTCTTTATCAAAGCTCCAACGATTGAACTTTATGCAGAATTAGAGCTTAGACAACCTAAAAAATATGACCTACTCATATCAACTATCTCAAACAAGACTGGCAAGTATGAGCCACAAATGATTTTTGGTGGCAGTCAATATTGCATGTGTTGTCTAAAGCACACAGATTGCTCCTTTGTCAAATACTATCTGTCCCTCCAGAGATTGGCCTGACCTGAACTGTCACATGAACAGAGAGCCAGATTTCTCTGGCACAGCCAAGCAGTATCTGTGCAAGCACTAAGGTTACACTCAGTTTTGAACATGCTCAAAGTTCAGATAGCACCTGAGGAACAAGAGAGGAAAATGAGCAGAGTGCTTGTGGCTCATGCCTATAATCCTAGCTACTCTGAGGAGGCTGAGATCTGAGGGCCTTAGTCCAAAACTAGCCAGGGCAGGAAAGTCTGTGAGATTCTTATCTTAAATTAATCACCAAAAAGCCAGAAGTGGAGCCGTGACTCAAGTAGTAGAGCACTAGCCTCGAGCAAAATTGCTCAGCCACCACTCCCAGGCACTGAGAGAGAGGAGAGAGGGAGGACAAGAAGAGGGGGAGGAAAAGGGAGAGAGGGAGAGAAAGAGAGGGGGAAAGAAGAGGGAGAAAGAGGGTCAGAGGGGTAGGGGAGAGGGGAAGAGAGAGAAGCTAATTGCTGAGGCACAACAACCCCATGAGGTATCCACAAAAATACTGAAACACAGAGAGCAAACAACTTCTTCAAGCTATAGAACAAGTCGAGGTAGAGCTAGCATGCAAACCTAGGTCTGATGTTTATGTACTTGGATGAGTAACATACTTTACTTTTCTTTTCTTTTCTTTTTTCTTTTTTTGATCAGTCGTGGTGCTTGAACATTGGGCCTGAGCGCTGTCCCTCAGCTCTTCAGCTCAAGGCGAGCACTCTACCACTTGAGCCACAGTACCACTTCCGGTTTTCTGGTAGTTTATTGGAGATGAGTCTCATGGACTTTCTTTCCAGGGCTGGCTTTGAACCACGATCCTAAGATCTCAGCCTCCTGAGTTGCTAGGATTACAGGCGTGAGCCACCGGTGCCCGGCTAGTAACATACTTTTCTGAGCCCTCCCCTTCTCCACCAAGATTGCTTATATACTTTATAATATTAAAATAAAAAGAGAATTACAGGTGAAAAGGCAGTTAGGTACAAAAATATAGGGGCAGTTGGGGTTGAGTTTCTATATTTTCAGATCTCGGATATGGTTCTTCCTATACTAGATGTCCAGCTAGTTTCACAGGGCCAATGAGCTTGCCACTTTGTTCTCTCATAGAGATGAGATGCCATGCACTGCCATTTATCACTAGTGGCACCTACACTTGCACAAATGGGGTGCTTCTTGACTCTCGCTGTGACTACAGCTGTTTCAGTGGCTACCACCTGGAAGGTGACCGCAGTAGGATCTGTATGGAAGATGGACGATGGAGTGGAAGCGATCCTTTATGTGTAGGTAAATGCTGCTTGCTCTCACTTGTCCTATTGCAAAGAGTTATCCCAGCATGATGTCTACAAAATATTTGGTATATTAATTGCAGAAAACCTTCTTACTTGCTAGGGGGATGGCACTGAGGGCACAATGAGTATTTCCCTGGAGTCAGGTTTCCTTGAAAACCTCAGTGTAACTATCCAGTGCTGTGTGCTATTTCTTCAGTGGATTCTCTCCAGAAGGGCAGGGGGACCCACAAATCAACGTTTGGTTTTTCATTTTTGAAGACATAGACCCTCCCAAGATTCGTTGTCCACACTCACGGGAGAAGATGGCAGAGCCAGAGAAACTGACTGCTCGAGTATACTGGGACCCACCCTTAGTGAAAGATTCTGCAGATGGTACCATCACCAGGTAAGCTTGAGTGACACTTGCCTCTCGGCCCCACCCCCTCCTGAAACTCAGGCAGCTCACACTGAAACTACACTGGCCAAGGCTACAAGGACCTCAGTTCTTTTTTTTTTTTTTTTTTTTTGGGGGGGTCCAGTTGTGGGGCCTGAACTCTGGGCCTGGGCGCTGTCCCTCAGCTCTTCAGCTCAAGGCTAGCGCTCTACCACTTGATCCACAGCGCCACTTCCGGCTTTTTTCTTTTTGCTTATGTGGTGCTGAGGAATCCAACGCAAGGCCTCATGCATGCAAAGCAAGCGCTCTACCACTGAGCCACCTTCCCAGCCCAAGGACCTCAGTTCTAAGAGTCTTTTCCCTCAGTAGCGTTTTTGCTCTTCTCTCATTCAGGGTCACCCTTCGAGGCCTTGAGCCTGGTTCACATTTTTCTGAAGGAGAGCATGTGATTCGTTACACTGCCTATGATCATGCCTACAATCGAGCCAGCTGCAAGTTCATTGTAAAAGTACAAGGTCAGAAAGAATTCTTCTTTTTCCACATTGTTCATTTTACCTGCTGTATCCTGACTTTCTTGCTCACCAAAACCCTCTCTTCTCCATAACTAAAACAAATACAAATACACACCTCCTTTATATTGAAAGATAGAAAGAGCAAGTTCACCAAACAGGCTTAATCAGAAAGTCTGTAGAGCATGTTCATGTGTATGTCACAGAAGCCCTGGTTTGCCAATGAGGCCTTTCAGTCAACTGACACTAGATAAAATTGACAAAGAGATTCTATCTATTTCTCTTTTGGCCTTCAAAATGATCAAATCTAATTAGTCTTTGTTCTCAGCCAATCACCAGGGCTAAAATGGAGGGTGTTGGCTATCTTCTTCCCCTTTGTCTTGTGCCATACTCTTTTGTTTTGCTTTTCTTATTATAAAAATAACTCATGTATATTCCTAGGCATTTGAAAAATATATTAAAAAGGAAAGATATTACCCCATTGTCCAGAAGCAATTGCTGTTAACCTCTCAATGTTTTCCTTCAGGTCTTTTCTCTATGTATACTTAAAAACATAATGCTAACTCTATTGATGTTGGTGATACGAATTTTAATGGATCTTAGAGCAAATGTCTACGAAAATTATTTTTTATGTATAATGCCCCATGCCTGTAATTCCAGGTAGGTGGAAAACATATATAGGAAAATTGCAGTTTAAGGTCTACTCTAGAAAAAATCACAAGACTCTACCTAAAAAGTAACTAAGCAAGCCAGGTACTGGTAGCTCATACCTCTAATCCTAGCTAGCAGGAGGCTGAGATCTGAGGATCATGTTTGAAGCTAGCCCGGGCAGAAAAGTCCTCGTGAGATTCTTTATCTCTAATTAACCACTCAAAAGCTGGAAGTGGTACTATGGCTCAAGAGGTAGAATGCTAGCCTTGAACACAAAGAAGCTGGGGAACAGCACCCAGGCCCTGAGTTCAAGCCCCAAAACCAACAAAAAAAAATCTAAGCAAAAAATGGCTTAAGTGTCAGAGATCATGCCCAACAAGCATGATGCCCTGAGTTCAAACTCTGATACTACCATAAATAAATATGCCAATCATAAATCATCTATTTTCACTTTCTATTAAAACACAACTAATTTCTGCATATCCTTTGAAAATTCTCCAGAAAATTTCTAATGACAGCATATCATTCTACTCTAAGAGTATGTCAAGATTTTCTTTTTTCTGGGCTGGGAAGGTGGCTCAGTGGTAGAGCGCTTGCCTTGCATGCATGAGGCCCTGAGTTCAATTCCTCAGCACCACATAAGCAGGAAAAAAAATGCCAGAAGTGGCAATGTGGCTCACAAGTGGTAGAGCGCTAGCCTTGAGCTGAAGAGCTGAGGGACAGCGCCCAGGCCAGAGTTCAGGCCCCACGACCGGACTACCTCCCCCCCACCAAAAAAAAGATTTTCTTTTTTCTTTTTTTTTTTGGTCGGTCATAGGGCTTGAACTCTGGGCTCAGGCACTGTCCCTCAGCTATTCAGCTCAAGACAAGTGTTCTACCACTTGAGCCACAGTGCCACTTCCAGTTTTCTGGTGGTTTATTGGAGATAAGTGTCTCACGGACTTTCCTGCCCAGGCTGGCTTTGAACTGCAATCCTCAGCCTCTTGAGTAGCTAGGACTACAAGCATGACCCACCAGTGCCCAGCTTCAAGATTTTCTTTATCCTTCTGATAACGGATATTTAAGACTTTTCTGACTTATTTACAATATTAAAAGTGATTCTGATTGTGACTGAGTGCTGGTAGCTCATGCCTATAATCTCAGCTATTCTCGAGACTGAGCTTGAAAGGTTCATAGTTCCAGGCCAAACCAGGGGGAAAAGTTTGTGAAACTCCATCTCAGTGGAAGAAACCAGACATCGTGGTGTGGTGCCTATCATTCCTATCAATGATGGGAAGCATAACATAGGTGAGTCATGGCCCAGGTACATGCCCGGGCAAAAAGTGAGATCCTATCACAAAAATATTAAGCACATAAAAGGACTGGAGTTGTGACTCAGTGGTAGAGTGCCTGCCTATCAAGTGCAAGGCTCTGAGTTCAAATACCAATACCACACAAAAAAGGAGTTCTGGCTAGGTATAGTGTTGCATGCATGCCTGTAATCCTAGCAAATGGGAAGCTGAAACAGGAGAATTAGAAGTTTAAGGCCAGCCTTGGTTGCATTCTAAGTTTTAAGCCATAGTGAAGCTGCATAGAGAAGCCCTATATAAATATAAAATAATTCTGTAAGGTGGCAATCATAGGGTGCCTGTAAAGTCTGCAAATAGAAATGACAATATTTTCTTTTAAGGATTTTCTTTTAGTGACAATATATGTATATTCACTTCTATTTCCAGATTTTATGAACCTCTATCTGCATTCCAAATTTAATTCCTTCAGAGAGGAAAAATTTCTATCACTAGCCATCAGAAAAACAGAAAAGGCATTCATGCTTATCATCCCGACTCCTGCTCTAGAAAACCCAAAATGTGCACATGTTTAGCTTTCTGCTGCTGCTAAGAGACACCGTAACCCTTAACTTGAGTTCCTCTCTAACAGTGAGACGCTGCCCAATTCTGAAACCACCACAGCATGGCTACCTCACTTGCACCTCAGCAGGAAACAACTATGGCGCCACCTGTGAATACTACTGTGATGGCGGTTATGAGCGTCAGGGGACCCCTTCTCGCGTGTGCCAGTCCAGTCGCCAGTGGTCAGGATCACCACCCATCTGTACTCGTGAGTGAAACCCGGGAATGGAAATGGTGGACATGTTGATCAAAGACACTTTGGAATATCCTCCTCATGACACAGGGGTCTAACAGCAATGTGCATGATATGGGAATGGGGGATTCTATGAAAGGGTCTATTTTGTAAGAGCCAACATTCCCCCCAGAAAACACTCCTACTTCAAGAACAAGGTTTTAAAATCTCCAGGTTTCTTTCAGGAATTCCATCTAACTACCCCAGGAAGCAAGAAACAACTAGAAGGGTTAACCTAGAAGATTAGAACTCATGATGTTAGGTTACCCTGGCATGGTAAAGGAGACAGGCATACTCTGACTGGCCATCTGTTTCTGCCATAGCTATGAAGATCAATGTCAATGTCAATTCAGCTGCTGGCCTTCTGGATCAGTTCTATGAGAAACAGCGACTCCTCATTATCTCAACTCCTGATGCTTCTAACCGATATTATAAAATGCAGATTTCTATGCTGCAGGTAAGACTCACTCTCCTCATGAGGGTTTAGCTACTTTATATTAACTTCAACCATTTCCAAATGAAATAGTTGTTCTCTGCTGCACAAACCCTGTTAGTTCAAAGTAACAGGAATGAGAAGTATTTGATCAGTTTTGCCATATGAACATTTAGCACATTGTTTAAAACTGCTATTTGTTTCTTTACTGGAAGGCAATAAGGCCATGGAATGGTAGATGTAGCTTGCACAGGACTGAGTGGGGGTTGGGAAGGGCATGTGATAGAGTACTCTGGAGAGATTTGTAAGACAGTTGTGCTTAAATATAAATGCTAAGAAAAAATAAAAAAATATAAATGCTAAGAATTTGCTACCTTTATATTTTGAGTAAACCCTTCTACAAATAAGTGATGTGTGAGTACTATTATTGATCTATATGTTTTGCACATGCTCATCTAATTCTCACAGCCACTCTATGAGAGTGTGTCAATCCCCCCTTAATAAACAAGGAAACTAAGGCATAAATGGATTATTTTGCCCAAGGTTACAGCTAGTAAATAGTAACGGTAGGATTGAACTCAGACAGTCTGACTCCTGGACTTTTGCTCAGTAGTAGAAGTGCTTGATAGCTCAAAGAAAATGAGAAAGTTGCATGGTGATTTTTAAGGTACTAAAAATACCTAGCCATACAACTGGTGGAGGAGGGAGAGAATATGACAGAATAAATACAAGCATGAGGACTTATGAAAAGAACAAACTAGACTGATGAAAACAATCACAATTTGCTGAGAGAACTCAAAGGAAGAAGTCTAGGCAGCTGCAAGGGGCTGGATACCCAGAACATTAAGAAAAAGCTACTTGGCTGTGGGTGGGGGGGAAGGGGGGAATAGGTGGCTTGTGGTGGTTAAAAGTTGAATCAAAGAAGTTACCAAGACAATGCTCAGTGGTTTGGGGTCAAAAAGGATCTTATTCTTTCAGGAATAGGAAAAAAAGAAAAAGAAAACCAAGCCAACAGCTTAATTGAACCAGAAGCATAGTCAAGTACAAGAATCTGCCAGTGAGGACAATGACTTTGAGAAAAAGGATGAAATTAAACCAAATAGGATATTAAAGAGTATTTAATGCATCTTTTTATTTAAATTTTATCATAAAGGTGATATACAGAGGGCGTAAAGTTAATTAAGTCAGGTTATAAGTAAATTTCTTTTTGAAGAGTATCACCCCCTTTATTTAATACCTCTTTAAGTCTTGACCTAGCTAAACTTGGTGGAACATGCTAGTAATTCCAGTACTTAGGAGTCTGAGGTAGAAGGATGTCAAGTTTGAGACTAACACAGGTTACATGGGAAAACTATGTCACAATAAAGTTTAAGCAAATAATAAATAACTAAATCTCACCCTGGTAACTGGCTAATAAGATGCCCTGCAGGGCAAGGCAGAACAAAGGCTCAAGGAAAGTAGGATCACAGAGCAAGCTGAATAGTTCAAAGAAGCAACAACTAGAAAATAGAAGAGCCCTGGTGTTTTGTTTGTTTGTTTTTGGGTGCCCAGGCCTGAGCCCTGTCCTTGTACTTTTTTTGCTAAGGCTAGCACTGTATTACTTGAGCCACAGCTCCACCAGCTTTTTGGTGTTTAATTGGAGAGACAAGAGTCTCATGGACTTTCTGCCCAGTCTGGCTTCAAAGTGTGATCCTCAGATTGCAGTCTACTGAGTAGTTAGGATTATATGCATGAATCACCAGCACCCTGCCCTGGCACTGTTCGAAGGAAGCCTAGAGATTGAGAGAAGGCCCTAGGAATATAACATAGTGGTAAAGAGCACGCACAAGTTCAGGCCTCATCCACTCAATTTGAATGTTGGCTCAGCATCTTATTGTCATGCCAAATTTGACAATTGTGTCACTTTCTTTCCTATGTAATAAAAATGACACTACAACGCTATGAGAGTTGTTCTAAGGATTAAATTAGAATCTTTCTTCAAAGCATTGGCTATGCATAAATAAAATGGAACAATAACCATCATTATTATATTCCAATAGCCATCTATTAAAAACGTATGCAGTTTAAAACCTGTACAGATTTATGCGATGATTATGTTCCTATAGGATAGTAATTAAATTTCTCTTCTTCTCTACATGGTGTAATTGGTTTCATATACTTCAGTAGAAGGAAGGAAGCATTTGGGGCAATTGCTTCAGGAATGACAAAGGGAAAAGTTTATATAGGCCCCAAAGCAGGTGCAGAGTTGATCCTGTGATTGTGGGAAGATTGCACAAAGCCCCTCCTTTCCCATACTGCCTCCCAAGGTCCCAGGAACAGAGTCAAGTAGCTTTAAATTTGGGTGCAAAGAGCTATTCCATTAAATGTTCTCTCCTTTTCCCAGCAATCCACCTGTGGGCTGGACCTGCGGCATGTGACCATCATTGAGCTGGTGGGACAGCCACCTCAGGAAGTGGGACGCATCCGTGAGCAACAGTTGTCAGCCAGCATCATCGAGGAACTCAGGTCCAAGCTGGGAGGCTGCAGGACAGGGATGGGCAGAAACCATAGGCAGGACTCTGATAATCAGGGGGTGTTGCAGAATTAGCAGAAATTACTCTTGTGGGAGGCATTTCTTGGGGTCTTAGAGTTGAGTTAGGTAAGATTCTTAATTCTTTCAGGGGATGAGAAGCAACTGGAGTTTTAAATTACAGATTACCTGGCTCCACGTCAAACCATTTCAGGAATGTGCTTTTAGAAAGCCTCCAGAGGTACCTTTGAAACATAGCCAAGGCTGAGACAGACCCAGCTGACCCTGATAAACCTCAGATTCTCTTTCCTCATGGCTTTAACTTGTTACGTTTCCAAAGGAGCAAAAGACAACATCAGGTATTGAAATCTAAATCCTATCTGTCTGACCCTGGAGAAAAAAGGTTATAGGTAAAAGGTGGTAGAAGTTAACTTTTTATTATCTATTACTGGACTTTAAGTGCCTCCATGTGTACTCAGGGCCAGTAAAACCATCAGTGCTCACTATTGTAGAAACAGTATCTACTTGTAGGTCAGTTTCAGTAAGGATAGGATTGAGGCTGAGTTAGAGACTAGAAACACTCAGAGGAAGAAGACCGCAGACTCATAGTGTGGATACACTGAAGAGTTAACTGGGTGGTATTTATCAACCTCAGGGCTGTCCTATGTAGCAGCCCTGTGTAAAGGGGCAGATAACAGAAGCACAGCCTGGTAAAAAAAAACAAGTTGATCCAGCTAGGGTGAGGAAAGGAAAGCCTTTGCACACAGGGGTTGGCAAGCCTAGAGTTTGAGCAGAAAAAAAAAGCGAAAGGGACTGAGCCAGGTAATAGAGGAGTTGAGGACATAGGAAGGGCTGAGAAAGGAACTAGTCCATAAGTGGAGCTGTGGAAGGTCAGAGGGTATTAGAGCCCTGTGGGACCAATGTCCAGACAAGGGCTGATGCCTTCTTGGGCTGCTCTCTCTAGGCAGTTTCAGCACCTCACTCGCTCCTACTTCAACATGGTGCTGATTGACAAGCAAGGTATTGATCGGGAACGCTACATGGAACCTGTCACCCCAGAAGAAATCTTCACATTCATTGATGACTACTTGCTGAGCAATCAAGAGCTGACCCAGCGCAAGGAGCAAAGGGATGTATGCGAGTGAACTTGAGCCAGGGCATGGTTGAGGTCAAGGGCATCACCCACACCCATGTTACAGAAACTGAAGCCTAATAAAAGGAGGAAATGGTTTGTCACAACTTGTAAGAACAGGACTCAGAGATTGGTGAAGTTTGTCAATCAGGGGACATTTCAGGTACTATTTAAGGGCTGTGTAATAGTTTCCCTAAAGAAGTCTGCTTCAGGAAGCACTAGAAGAGCATGAGGAGCTAGATAGGGACTGAAGACAGGTCATAAGCAGCAGGCTGGAGGTAGAGGTCTGCCTGTAATGACCTGGGCCTCTGCCCAGCTCTCTAGTCTTTCACATAAGTAAATTCTAAATGCATTCATTTTTTTTATTGTGAAAATACTGTACAGAGGGGTTACAATTACATGGGCAAGGTAATCAGTACATTTCTTATCAAGCATTGTAGCCTCCTCCTTTGTTTCCCCTTCCCATCTCCCCCCACCCCCTCCACCCAATTCTCCTCCCCCCCCACCACCAAAGTTGTAAAGTTCATTTTCGACATAACAACTTGAATATCTCATTGTTGCAATGGGTCCACCTGTATCCCTATTTAAACAATTTGTTTTTTCCCTTCCTCTCCACAAATTATACCGACATTAAATACAGTGAAAGCAGGGGTTATACCATGGGGGAGGGACATACAAAGCAACAAAGAAATAATCTTATAAATGTGTTAGAAACAACTGCATGAAAGAAAAAAACATTTGAATACATATCTTAGGGTTCATTTCCCTAACATCACCTTATCTGACCTTTTCTGCTTGACTCAAACATATACTAGTTATTGCAAATAAGGGAAACCATAGGACCTGAGTTTCTTTGGGCCTGGCTTACTTCACTTAATATAATTTTTTCCAAGTCTTTCCATTTCCTAACAAATGGGGCAATGTCATTCTGATGGAGGCATAGAATTCCATTGTGAATATATACCATATTTTCTTGAACCATTCATCTACTGAGGGGCATCTGGGTTGGTTCCATATCTTAGCTATGGTAAATAATGCTGCAATAAACATAGTCGTGCTGGTAGCTTTAGTGTGGTCTTGTTTGTGAACATTTGGGTAAATGCCCAAAAGTGGGATTGCTGGGTCATAGGGGAGCTCTCTGTGGAGTCTTTTGAGGAACCTCCATACTGCTTTCCAAAGTGGTTGAACAAGTTTACACTCACCAACAATGTAGTAAGGTTCCCTTTATCCACATCCCCTCCAGCATCTGTTGTTATTAGAGTTCTTGATTATAGCCATTCTAACTGGGGTGAGGTGGTATCTCAATGTTGTTTTGATTTGCATTTCTTTTATGGGTAGGGATGTTGAGCATTTCTTCATGTGTCTATTGGCTATCCTTCTTTCCTCTTCAGAGAAGTTTTTCTTTAAGTCTTTAGCACACTTATTTATTGGGCAGTTGTTTCTTTGAAGATTTGTTGTTGGGGTATTTAATTTTTTGAGTTCCAGGTATATTTCAGATATGAGACCCTTGTCCGTTGTATGGCTAGTGAAGATCTTCTTCCAGTCCGTGGGCTTTCTATTGATCTTGTTAGCTATGTCCTTTGCCATGCAGAAGCTCTGCAATTTCATGCAATCCCATTTGTCCAACCTCTTTGATTTGTTGTGTTTCTGGGTCTCTATTAAGAAAATTTCGGCCTGTTCCAAGGAGACCTAGGGTTTCTCCTATTCCATCCTGTAATGTTTTCAGGGTGTCTGCTTTGACTCCAAGGTCTTTGATCCATTTGGAGTTGATTCTGGTGCAGGGTGATATATAAGGATCTTACTGGCTGTGTTTGAAATGGTTCTGTACCTCGTGGTGACAGTAGAGGGCAGCACTATCACAATAGACAATTGGGACAATTTAAGCAAGTATAGGTGGACTTTCCTTTAGGTTAATTGTATCAGAGACCAGGAAGGTGTGGCAAGAATCTACAAAACATTCTTGAACTCACTTGTCATTTCCCCTTCTAGAGAATTGGGCTAAAAATATGAACCACTGATTTATCAAGAGTTAGAAAAACATTGCAACGGAAGGGAGGCTGAGAGGAAAAATCTAATCAAAACAGAATGGTCTCTCTTGGCCCCTCCAGCCAGTTCATGGGCAAGAAATACCTACTGTGTCCTCCAGTCTCTGGAGCAAAAGGTACATAATGCTGTTTCTTCATTAGAGGAGCCTCCTAGCCTGTGAGCTGGAGTACCACCTGACATAACTGGAAAAGAAAATCGACTTTGTCCTGTATTCACTTTCTAGGATATTCCCTTTAACAGATGAGCACAGAGAGGGTGGAAAATACAGCAGTAAAAACACAAGTCTTCAGAAGCAAGTGGGAAAATTGAAAGTAAATTTGAGGTTGGGCTATTAGAAAGTAGAGACACACAGATCTCCTTTCTTTCTCTTGCATTTCCTCCCACCATCCTTTCCTCTCTTCCTTTCTTCCCCCTCCCTCCTTCCTTCCTTTCTTCCTTCCTCCTTTCTTTTCTTTTTCTTCTTTCTTCCTTCCTTATTTCCTTCCTTTTCTTTTGCTGAAAATGTAACTTAAGACCTTGAACATGCTAAGCACTTCCACTAAGCTACACCTCCAGTCCCAGATCCTTGCTCTCACTTCAGTCCCACTCAGTACTTTCAAAGGAAAGTACTCTTTCCTTGTTACAAAGAACCTCCTTTTCTAGTGATAGAATCCAGAGTTAAGACTTCAACTTTTTCCAAGGGGTCACCAGTGGAAAACTAGAACGGTCAGAAAGCAAGATGGGTGCTCACAATGCTTGAGTACTCATTAGGTGCAAGGGGCCATGATGAACACTCTAGATCTGTCTTTGAAATTTTCAAAAGAACCGTATAAGGTAAAGTATTATTAACTCCCTTTTACAGATAACGAAATTGCACTGGAGCTCAGCAAGATTAGGTAATTTGCTTAAATTCTGACAGCTAATAAGTGGAAATGTCAGGATGTAAACATCAGCAGTCAGGCTTCAGAGTTAAAGGCCTTCAACATTCTGCTATCTCATTTTTCTACTTCCAATTTTAAGATAGCTGAAGGTTCTAAGAACACCTTGAGAATGGTTCAATCTTCTATATTCATACTCAAATATAAAACTCAGACTCAAGGCTCTCAACCTAGAGTGATGGGGCATAAATAATAAACCCAGAACACATGGGATAGCAGTGAATCAGAGAGAAGTTATTTTCACTGGAAGTTTATTGGAAATCTGATTTAAGATGCAAACTAAAAATTACATGGTTTTTGGGTAGAATGAGACATGAAAGAAATGATCAAACTTGGAGGGAAAGACTCTCTTCTCCAAGTTCCCTCCAGGGAAATACAGAAGTTTTGAAAGGCTACAGGTAATTCATGTGCAGAAGGCAAAATACAGAGGGTGGGAAATTTCTGATCTAACACAGTCTGTGGTTCCAAAGGTGAACATTGATTATTGGGAAAGACAGATGTCCTTCCTTGTCTATCTCACTAACACTTCAAGTGGCAAGCCAGGACATGCCAAAGGCCTGAAAGATAACACAGGTGGCCCACTACTTCCTAAACAGTTTCAACCAAGAATTGATTCTTCCAGCTTAAAACAACAGAGGAACTTTTGATTCCTAGTAGTCAGGGTAAATCAATTTTGCTTTCTTAGATTTTACCAACCTAAGGTTTTGCATTGTAGATTATGACTCCAAGAAATCCCAAGTACTAGCTAGCTCCAATGGCTCCCGCATATATCCTTACCAACTCAGGAGGCTGAGATTTGAGGCTCACAGTTTGAAGCCGGCTATGGTAAATCCAAAAGACTCTTCTCTCCAATTAAACAGCAAAAAGCTGGAACAAGAGGCATGGCTTAAGTCGTACAGCATCAGCTGTAGGCCAAAAAGTCAAGAGAGGTCTAAGGCCTAGAGTTCAAGCTCTAATACTGACAAAAATGAAAGAAAGAAAACAAAAATAAATCCGAATTCTAATTCCTAAAGCAGGAAAGGCAGGATCGGAATCAAACCCACAACAGACCCACCCCACCAACTTGGTGAGCATGACCCTCTTCCATTCCTTCCATCCTCCTTATAAGATTCTTACATCTAGAGCTAGGACTTCAGCTTTTCCCAATGGATCACCACTGGAAAACTAGAGGGGTCAGAAAGCAGGATGGGTGCTATTAATGCTTGAGTGTTCAATAGGTACCGAGGGCCATTGTAAACACTCTAGCTTATAAGGACTCTAGATATATCTCTGAAATCTTCAGAATAACCTTATAAGGTTCATCTGCTTTTGAGCCTTCTCTCTTCCTTCAGCAGCTTTCCACTTTCTACTCCCTCATATACATACTTATGCAAATACAATCTATACAACTAAGTTGGCTAGGTAATGTCAAAGCATTCTGATTGCCCTACTGTATAAATTAAACTAATTTCTTTTGCCTCTTTGCCCATAATACACATGTCTTTGTAGATATAAGAGGCAGTGTGGTACAGGTGACTCGGACCTTGATTCAAATCCCAAATCTGTCACAGTGGACTTGTGTTTTCTCATCTGTAAGAAGGGAAGATTTCTTACTCATTGGAGAGTTTAAGGAAATAATTTATAAAACTTTGTACACAAAAAGCATTTGATATATATGAATGTCCTTTTGTACAAGGAGTCAAAAGTCACTTGTGGTCCGGACCAAGATGGCGACGGGGCAGTAGGGAAACGCCACAGCTCTCTCCAACCAAAAAGAGAGTTCGAGTTCCAACGCTTAATCTCCCCAAGAGACCGACAACAACAAAAAGACGAACACTCAGAGAAAAACCAGAGGTGGAAAATAACAAAAAAAGAAAGAGAGGAAAAGAAGAAATTCAGAACAGAGAAGAGCGAAGACCCCTCCCCCAACCTTTACTGGCAGTGCGCCAAGCCGCCGGCCAGCCGGCCCGGCGGGGGCTGCCGGAGCCCCAGAGACACAGGGGGCTGCTTGCAGATCACCAGGTACCGGATTGCAGAACAGCGGATCGCCAGGAACAGAGAAACCTACCAGCCGGGAGTCTCCACAAGGATCCCACCCCCACCCCTCACTCTCCACCGGAGCGGAGAGGCTCCATACCGCCAAAGCCGCCCGGCACC